TCCCCTGGGCTGGGGAGCCCAGGCAAGGAGGCTGTGAAGAGCCCCATGACAAGGGAAAGTGCAAGTCCCTCCCCAGAGTCAAGAGTATTTTAAGAACAAGAGGCACTGCAGGGACTGCTCAGGGAGGAGGAGGAGGAGTGAGGAAGGAGGAGGAGAGCAGATCCTGAGGGGAGATGAGGCTCTGGAAGGAGAGATTAGGGCTTTGATGGCTCTGCAGTGCTGACAGCAGCAAGCTCTGCCTCTCAGGGATGCCTCAGGTTTAGCTTTTATATCTTTCAGATTTAGTGTGTGGGTCTGGGCTTCATATTATGGGATGGTGAGTTCTCTGCACAGAGCAGGGAGACAAAACAATTCCTGCTCTAGCTGGGGACCAAGGACAAATGAAGAGAAATCAAGGAGGATGGGACTTCATGGGCTGGAGCTGTAATTGGACAATTAGCTCCAATATGCAAATGGACCAAAACTTTTTAAAAACTGTGAGACCCTGTGACCGGTTGTCCATTTTTTTGTGGCCATTTTGGGTTGTGCTGCCCAAGGTGGATCTATTGAGGATATCCTTTTAATAAATCCCTACTTCATGCTTTAGCTCAGTCTAGTCTCTGTTCCAGGTCAGCCTTCACAAGGTGGATCTATTGAGGATATGCTTGTAATAAATCCCTACTTCATGCTTTAGCTCAGTCTAGTCTCTGTTCCAGGTCAGCCTTCACAAGGTGGATCTATTGAGGATATGCTTGTAATAAATCCCTACTTCATGCTTTAGCTCAGTCTAGTCTCTGTTCCAGGTCAGCCTTCACCGGGCATCAGCAGCAGTCCCTGCTCTGGGTGTTCCTGAGCCTCCCTGCATCCACTGGCATGGGAGAGTGACCCTGATTGGGACAGAGGAGTAATGTGAGGGGTCACTCTCACAACTCAAAGGCAAATATCATGTATATATGTTAAGAGAAGTTTTACAGATTTATAGTTAAGTTTCACCCCCCTTGCATTGTTATCAGGGGGTGGCCTGGGTTTGGGACATTTGGGAGGGTCAGCTCCTTACTGTGGCAGCACCTGAACCTCCAACTGAAATTTAAGGAAGTGATCTCCACCACTGGACAGGGAGAAGTTGATGGACAGAACTTTGGGAGAGCTAAAGGGTTAAAAGGCAAGACCTCCATTGTGTGGGTGAGCACATGGTGAGCACATCCTCTGCTCCTGGTGCTGTAATATTTTCTCCATTCAGTCTTCTGTTGTATTTTTGGTAAAAGTTTGTATTTTTAAAAGGTTTTAATAAACCTTTTACATTTTTTTGGAAGTGAGCATCATTTCTTACAATGGGGGCTGAGCATCCCTGCCCTGCTGCAAGGAGCTGCAGAGAGCAGCACCAGCCCTCTCCCCAGCCCTCAAGGTTACAGAGCACTGGGGAGGAGAGGGTGTGCATGGTGACTTGACAGAAATACTAATCCAGCTGAGCTGCAGCATTAGGGAAAGAAATTAATAGGAGAACCTGTAAAAAGCATGTAAATAACGGGCATATCTGGTTATTTATCCCTCTCCTGGGCAGGGAACAGTGTTCCTCTGATGTGAGCCACAGTTACACAGCCTGGGGGGGAATTCTGCAGCCAGTGATGAAGTTAAGGCTGGAGCTGATCCATGAACACCTGCAGAGGGTTTTGTACCCCTGCTCCTGTCCTTGACCCCCTCCACCAGCACCTGCATCAGCTCTGGCACTCATGGGCTCAAAAATAAGCTCTTTCAACCTACTAATGTGCCAGAAAACCAATGTGGGACAAGAGATGAGCTCAGTAGGGTCTGGGAAGCCAGGAGGGCGTGCCCAGCTGAGCACAGTGGCAGGGAGCCCTGGGTGAGAATGGGCTCAGCTCTTGGTCAGAGCTGTCACATCCATGCAGGTACAACAGCACACTGCACAACAGCAACAACAGCACGTGGGGACATTCTTCTGCCAGAATCCCTCAGGAAGGAGCTGTGCTGGTGGTGTCTCACATGCAGGAAACATGCCAGGATGGTGTGGAGTTAAACTCCAGGCTGAGGTTGAGAGAGAAGATCAGCTCCTGATCCTGCTGCTGGCTCTGTGACCACGGGAAGCTCTGATGGGACAGACAGGTCCCTCCTGGCTTTGCCTCTGGGGCTGGAAGTCAAGCAGTCCCTTCAGAGAGCCCCATCCAAAGAGCTGTTCCCATCTGGAGGGAGGCAGGGCTGGCCCTGCACCATGGCTGTGGCCCCTCCGTGTGCTGGGAGGGCTCTGTGCCACAGGGCACTGTCCCCTGGCACCCAGGAACCTCAGCAGCTCCTGGCTTGGAGGGGGGCATTCCCTCTGAAATCCCCACTGTTCCTGCCTCCCCATGGATCCACCCAGCTGCCCTGCCTTGCACAACCAGCACAGCACGAAGTGAGAGGTCCAGGAGGAGATTTTGACAGGGATTGAATATCCCTGTGTTCAGAGAATCCAAGGCAGAGTGAGACAAGCCTGTTCCTGAAGCCAACAGACAGCACAGCTTGGCTTTTATTCCTCTTTTCCAAAGCCCTGCTTGTCCAAGGGATGAACCAGTGGGTTGGCAGAGGTCTGGACCATCTGAAACCTCCCCAAAAACCCGCTCCTGAACCTTGTCCTGAGGGTCCTGCACAGCAGAGCCTCCCAGGGCAGCTCCAGCTGTAACCTCCTCTCCTGTTTGTGTGTGTGCTGTTCCTCTCCCTCTCCACCGTGTCCCTTTCCTTGGCTACTCCCAGCACAGCTCCCCTGCAGGCTGAGCTGTGCTGAGGGACAGGCAGAGCCCACAGGGTGCTCAGCAGAGGTCTCTCAATTGCTGCTGGCTTCTACCAATCAACCTCCAAACTTGTTGAGATTCTCTCTAATCTGCTTCAGCAGACACTTTGTCCCAGGAGGACTGAACTAAATTGAGTTGCAGGGCTGCAAATCACGCAGCAGCCTCATTTTAATCATGGCTATTCAAGTGCTAAGGAATGCACAAAGTAAATACATATTTGTTTTTAGGCCATCACTTGTCCCATTTGCAAGAGGAAAATGAATGTGCTCAATCCCTGAGGCTTTGATCCTCGCAGGATAACTTGGGAAATGAACCTGCCACAGGACATACACCCTTGGTTCAATCCTCTCCCTGCTGCCAGAGCTCTTCTCCTGGGTCTGTTAAATGTCTCACTCACATCCTCAGTTTTAATGGGGCTTTAACACTTCCCACTGTGCCTGCCACCCCCTCTGCAGTCCCTGCTGCCTTCCTGGGCACTGATTTCCCTGAGCAGTGCCCGGGATCCAAGTGCCAGGGTCAAGCTGTGCCCTTGTCTGAGCGCAGGCTGCAGCCAGAGCCCGGAGTGCCCAGTGCTGCAGGTGCAGTGCTGGCTGTGCCAGGCTGCCCAGGTGGTTGGCTTTGCAGATCAGTCCTTGACTTCTGTGCTACTTCAAACACATTTGAATAAATACTCTGCATCCCGAGATTTGATCAGCCTGCACTCCCAGTGCTGCAGTGTCCTTCTCTTTGGCGTGCCCTGCTCTCTGTGGGGATCAGCCTGGCTCAGCTGTGACACAGAGCTAAAACTCTGGATGCTCTGGATGCATGCCAGGCCTCCACACTCTTCTCCTGGGCATTCCCCCTCCTTTAGCTCTAGCTGTGGTTTGGGATCTTCCCTATGCTCCAAGCATGAGTCAACCTCTGGTCCCTTTGCTCTCCCTCTCTGCCCTGCTGTCCTCCCATTGTAATTCCTGTGTCTCAAACCTGTTCCAAGGTCATCCCACTTCCTCCCTGAACTTAAAATTCACCTGAGCAGTGCCTGCTGCTCACAGTTTCCCCACTTGGATCACAGCTCCCCTCTCAGCTAAACTGCACCTGGCAGGGTCAGAATAGGAACAATTCCTCTTCTTAATCTCCAGATCAAATGTACCCACAGGACCCTGGCCATAAAACCTCCCCAGCCCCACTAACTGAGGGCAGCTGCATTTTTTGGATGCCTTACCCAGCTCACAGATTCAGTGACTGTGGCAGTGGCAAGCTGATCAGATGTGACATTTCTGGCTGTGCCCTCCATTCTGCAGTCCAACAATGGTGCCATTAATTCCACAGCTACCTGGGGAACCTGCTCCGAGCTCCCGAGCCTTGATCTGGGCTTTGGGGGCTGTTCTGCAGCTTCACTCAGGAGCACTGGAGTGAATAATCTGGATACTTTTATAGAGAGCAGTTGCTAAACAAAAGCTGCACATTCTGGAACATTCACTTGGGGTTTGAAACAAGATGTGGGAAAGGAAGAAGTGACTTAAAATTTCAGGTACCAGTGACATTGATAACGTTGGTGTACAGAGCAGGCAGGGACAACAACAACCACCTCCCTGCCCTGCTGTCAGCTGATCCTGCTGCTGTTTGTCCCTGAGGGGTGTGGGAGTGCGTGGGTGGGGATGAGTGGCCAAGGGGCAGCAGCCCTGGCCTCACACTGACAGTGCTGGCTCCCTCCTCACAGCAAGGAAACCACCCTGGGCTGCCCCCAGACAGCACAGAGACCACCCTGGGCTCCCTCTGGACAGCACAGAGACCTCCCTGGGCTCCCTCTGGACAGCACAGAGACCACCCTGGGCTCCTCTCAGACAGCACAGAGACCACCCCAGGCTTCCTCTGGACAGCACAGAGACCACTCCATCCTCCCTCCACACAGGACAGAGACCATCCTGGCCTCCCTCCCGGTATCAGAGGCTGGGCTCCCTCTGGACAGCACAGAGACCACCCTGGGCTCCTCTCAGACAGCACAGAGACCACCCCAGGCTTCCTCTGGACAGCACAGAGACCACCCCATCCTCCCTCCACACAGCACAGAGACCATCCTGGCCTCCCTCCTGATATCAGAGACCACCCTGCCTCCCTCCAAACATCACAGAGACCACCCCGGGCTCCCCCCAGACAGCACAGAGACCACCCCATCCTCCCTCCAGACATCCCAGAGACCACCCTGGCTCCCCCCAGAGGGCACAGCGAGCAGCCCAGCCCCAGCAGGGCTGTCCTTACCTTCTCCTGGTACTGGCGGCGCGAGGAGTCCAGGGACTGGATGAGGGCGGTGGCGTGGCCGATGAACATGGCGTAGCAGGTGGCCCCCACGATCATGCTGAGCATGGTGAGCCACACGTCCGACATGCCCACGGGCGCCTGCTGCCCGTAGCCGATGCACAGCATGTGGCTCATGGCCTTGAACAGGGCATACGAGTACTGCTTCCCCCAGGAGTCGTTCTGCAGGGACAGGGCACAGCCTCAGCACGGGGACACGGCTCTGGGGCAGGAAAGCACCCCTGGCACCGCACCCAAAAACCCCTGTCGGAGCCACCTCCATGTGTTACACAAGAGATTTAATTCTTTGGTGGCTTGGAGTGCTGGGGGGTCTTTGAAAGCAAGGAGGGCTATGGAGTCTCAAGCCACAAACCCCTCAGAGCCCCACAACTCCCATATCCCTCCCAGAGCCCCTACACCTCAATGCCCCCATAGCCCCATAACTCCCATATCTCTGAGCCCCTACACCTCAATGCCCCCACAGCTCCCACATCCCTCACAGAGCCCCTACACCCCAATGCCCCCACAACTCCCATATCCCTCACTGAGACCCTACACCTCAATGCCCCCACAACTTCCATATCCCTCACTGAGACCCTACACCCCAATGCCCCCACAACTTCCATATCCCTCACTGAGACCCTACACCTCAATGCCCCCATAGCCCCACAACTCCCATATCTGCTCCCATATCCCTCACTGAGACCCTACACCTCAATGCCCCCACAACTTCCATATCCCTCACTGAGACCCTACACCCCAATGCCCCCACAACTTCCATATCCCTCACAGAGACCCTACATCTCAGTGCCCCCACAACTCCCATATCTCTGAGGCCCTACACCTCAAACCCCTCAGAGCCCCTACAACTCGATGCCCTCAGAGCCCCCATAACTCCTGTATCCCTCACAGAGCCCCTACACTTCAATGCCCTCAGAGCCCCATAACTCCCATATCCCTCACTGAAACCCCCAGCTGAACTCAAAAATCCCTGTTGGAGGCACCTTGACACAAGAAATTTACTCTTTGTTACACAAGAAATTTCATTTCAGAACTCCCACCACCCCACAAGCCCAGCTCAGTCCATTTGGAAAAACAAGCCCAGATGCCAGATCTGAGATCAGCACTTTGGCCCTGGTTTTTAGAGACTCCATGTGCTTTTTCCAGCAGGGAAGGCAGCCAGTGTACCCTGCTGGTAACCTGGGATAAACCCAGACGATGCACTGGGAGAGCTTCACAAAGACCCACGTGTGGGAGAGGGCACTGAAGCAAATCATTTCTTCCTCTGGGAAATGGACTTGAACTGAGAACTGTAACAGAGAGCCTGAGCAAGGCTGCCAGCAGCAGGATCTGAGAGTGAGGAAAATCACTGCTCAGCAATTTAGGAAATGGCCAGGGCCTCTGGTCATTACCTGGAGAGATGAGAAGGGCAGAAAATGAAGTTGGTAATGTCTGGACAGCAAGTTCTTCTCAGTGCAAAACTGGGCTTTTTCAGAGAGCTGAGGAACTACAAAAGGTCTCATTTGAGAGCAGCAACGTCCTGCCAGGAGAGAGTGCTGAGACACCTTGTGCTCTCCTGCAGCACCTCAGCATGGCACAGAGAGAAAAGCCAGCACAAGTTTCCTGCTGATTCTGCTTAGCCTGAGCTCATGGTGGAACAGCTCGAGGTGCATTTGCCATCCTGTGGGTATTGTCTGCCAGCAAGTTCTTGCTGTGAAACCTTGAGGAGTAACTGCACTGGCATCACACATGGCTCCTGCAAGGATGTGAAAATGCCTCTGAGGTGACACTCATGGCAGCACTGGGCATCATTCAGCTGCTCCCTGTTCCTAAAGGGGCCAAGGTTATGGATGGAGCTCTGCAGACACAGCTGTGCCTGCTTGGAAGGTCCCTGCACAGGCCTGCTGCTGGCTTGTCAAGAAACAGGGAGTTCTCCTGTGACCTCCATCCAGAGCACCAGTGGCCAGCAGCACTGGGAGCTCTGGAATTAACTGGGCACCTCCTGGAGGCATCTCATCACAGCCAGGGGGTGGCTGATGACCTCCCTGCAGGCAGCTCTCAGTGCCACTGATGTCCATGGAAACTTCTCACTGTCCTTACGGAGAGCAAACAGTGACAAAGCTGGCTGGGAGCTGGGCACAGGCTGGAACCTCTGCCGAGGGCTGGTGCTTGGTTAGGAGATAAGCACACAGACAAAGCCGATAGCATTACCTGGCCAGATTCAGTTTCATTGTGCAAGACAGGCCTGATTCCCACTGCAGCAAGAAGGGCAAAGCCGCACAAGTGACAGCAGAGCTGACACAGGAGCAGTGGCACAGCCACAGCCCGGGAGGGACTGCTCCTGCTGCCGGTGCCAGTCTGTCTGGGCTCACCTCCCAACAGAGCAGGACCTGGAAAAACCACCCTGCAGCCAGGAGAGAGGGGCAAGAGACAGAGTGGCCATTGGTGACTGCTGCTGGCTGTGCCCTAGGCTGGTGTGTGAGGAGCCCAAAGGAGCTGCACACAGGGCAGGACAGGGCACAGGGAGTTTGTCCCCTGGCCAGGGCACAGGAAGGGTCCGGCCATGGGAGCTGCCAGAGATGGGAGGCCAAAGGAACAACCCCTCCTGCTCCTCTGCCTCCAGGCTGTGCTGGGGCTCTGAGCCTAGCCAAAGAAGTGCTGGGTGCCCCCAGGTTCTGTGGCACTTTTGGTTTCCAACCCCAGGCTCTGTGGCACTTTTGGTTTCCAACCCCAGGTTCTGTGGCACTTTTGGTTTCCAACCCCAGGCTCTGTGGCACTTTTGGTTTCCACCCCCAGGTTCTGTGGCATTTTTCATTTCCACCCCCAGGTTTTGTGGCACTTTGCTGACCCAATCTGCTCCGTGCAGGCACAGGGCCTCTCACACAGCTGCCACAGGCACCCTGCCCTGCCAGGAGCCCCCTTCCCTCAGCCCTGCACTCCTGGCACTCTGAGGCCATGGCCCTGCACTCAGGGCATGGCAGCTGCTGTGACTTCCCTGGCTTTAGCCCATCCATTGTCCCTCATCCTGAGACAGCAGCAGGCAGTTGTCACATTTGGCCACTCTGCTGAAAATGCTGCATCCCTGCAAAGGTGGGAGCACAGTGCCAGTGCCACGGAGTCCCTCAGCCCATGCTGCTGGGGCACAGGGAGCAGAGCAGCTGCCCAGACCCATCCCTTGCTGAATGAATTCCTTCCCCATTCCCCACTGGCTGCTGCAGGGATGCTGCTGCCCTGTGAGTTCAGTAGTTTAACAGGGCAGCACATCACCACAGACCTGAGAGCAGGGACAAAGGGAGCTGAGGGAATTCCAAAGGGAATCTGGGCAGACAGAGCAGTAATAGCTGAGCTGGAAAACTGGCTGCCAGGCTCTTTAGTGGCTGTGAACATCTGGGTACCAGGCAGGCTGGAGGTTTAAAAGCCATTCTTCCAGCAACTTGCTGCTTAGGAGTGCTGTTTCCAAGGAAGCTTGCCAGTGTTTTGTAGGAATTAGTCATCCAAAACTCTGCCATCCAGCACTCCGAGCCCCTGCAGCCTGCACAAACGCTGCTGGCTCCCTGGGAATTGCACAGCTCCGAGCCCCAGCCCGATTCCCAGCAGCAGCAGGGCTCCTGTGAGGACAGGCTGAGGGTGCCAGACTGAGGCATGACAGACTGGGGGGTGGGAGCTGCAGGAAAACACTGAGCTTTCCAAACAAACCCCGAGCACCCAGCTCTGCTGGGAGAGCACGTCAGGGCTGCTCAGAGAGAGGCACTCGTGTGAAGGGGAAGCCTTTCAGAGCAATTACCTTCAGGGTAGCCGGTGTGAAGAGCACTGGATGCTCTGTGATGATTCTTCACTTACAGGCCCTGTACCTCTTCAGCTGTCAGGTTTTTTGTTTCCCACAGGATGAGCAGACAGGTCAAGCCCACAGCACTTTAGGCCAGACCAGAAGAGGTTCCAGATGCAGTGTGGCCACGGGTTTATCAGCACCAGGTGCCTCACACTGCCACAGCTCCTTCCTGTAAGAGCCATTCCCTATCTAACACCCCAGATACTGGAGTGGCTAAAATGGCCCATTAGGGCAGGGAAATGAGGCCTTAAACTGCAGGGGGAAAATGACTCCTCGTTTAGCAGATCCCAAAGCATGCAAAAGCAGAGCTACAGATCTGTGCCTTTCACAGTCAAGAGGGGTTATCTCAGAGGCACCAAGAGACTTTGCAAAAAGCAGTGAAATGACTTTGAAGCAGTTTCTCAGACTGGTTTGTTTTTAACATCCAGTGCTGGAAGGGCTTCTCTGGCATTAGAGTCTGGCCTGCTCAGATCCACTTTTGAATATTTGGAGGCAATTCCCTGGAACACTTCAAAGGCACTGCTGGGTTCTGTAGTACCTTAGAAGCACCTGAAGGCAAACTGTGGTGTCTGACAGAGTACTTTGGTTCTGATGTACATGTGAGTGTGCCTGGTTGAATCCTCCCTGGAGAGGAGGAGTGAGATGAGTAAAAACATGGAGAAGTACTGGAAGTTCTTGGCATAGGGGTGTAGTCCACCATGAACACCTGGAGAACTCAGGAGCTGTCTCTGACCATCCCTGCCCACCCCTGGAACTGCTGGGCTGGGAAAACACCCCTCCAGATCCAGTTTAAAGGGTGGGAGTAGTGGGGGAACACATGGAGATGACAGGTTCAACTTCACTTTGGACAGAACCTGCCTGTTCCAGCCTTGTTTCCAAGGGAAGCTCACATGGCCTTCACCTGACAGCAGGGATCTTCTCTGAGTGCCCCTGTCCCAATGATCCCAGGCAGCCTTTCCTGGGAGCACTCCAAAGAACCCTGTGCTCCTGGAGATGCCCACCTGGGCACCCACCCCTGGCCTGGGTGTTGGTACCTGTACCCAGCACAGAGTGCTTCTGCCTCCTTTCCATGCCTGCTGCTGTGCCCATCTCATGTTGCTCGCAGCCGGCCTCCCTGGGCAGCCCCTGCAGGTGCCTGGCACCCTGCCTACTGAAAGGTCAGTATTCCCAGTTATGGGCTGTTCTGCCTGCCCACCCTGCTCTGGACTGGTTTTGGCCCCAGCTGGGGAGAGCATTCCCTGTGCCTGTCAGAGCATACCTTGGGCTCCACGTTCCCAACCCATGGAAAGTGCTCCTGCTGCTCCTGAGACTGTCCAGAATATGGAATCTCCTGCAGATTCCTGTGCCAGTGACCCTGGGCTCCAGGTTCCCACCCCATGGGAGCAGCTCTGCTTCTGCTGCCCATGACAGACTGTCCAGAACATGGAATCTCCCTCAGATTTCCATGCCTGTCACCCTGGGCTCCAGGTTCCCCACTCCATGGGAAGTGCTCCTGAGACTTTCCAGAACACGGAATCTCCCTCAGACTCCTGTACCAGTCACACTGGGCTCCATGTTCCCACCCCATGGGAGCAGCTCTGCTTCTGCTGCCCATGACAGACTGTCCAGAACATGGAATCTCCCTCAGATTCTTGTACCTGTCATCCTCAGGTCAAGCTTCCCCCACCATGGGAACAGCCCTGCTCCTGCTGCTCCTGAGACTTTCCAGAACATGGAATCTCCCTCAGATTCCCGTGCCTGTCACTCTCAGGTCAAGCTTTCCAACCCATGGGAAGTGCTCCTGCTGGCCCTGACAGACTGTCCAGAACATGGAATCTCCCTCAGATTCCTGTGCCTGCCGAGGGAAGGCAGGAGGGATGAGCTAGCCCAGAGGCTCGGGGGGAGCTGGGAATCCCCCCAGATCTGTTCAGGATTGCTCTCTCCCATTCCTCTCCCCCCTTTCCATCAGCAGCCCTCGGCAGGGTGCTGTGAGCAGGGAGGGGCAGAGCTCCAGGGGAATGTGTTCTGCTGGAGGGGAGGCTGATCAGAGCTTGCTGCCGGGTCTCAGGGACCTCTGTCCTCCCTGCAGGGTCTGTGGGGTCAGCACAGCACCCAGGGGACGAGGCCACGTGTTCCCAGCAGCTTTCAGGGCTCAGCAGAGTTCAGATCTCTGGGAGAGGAGCTGCCAGGCCAGCTCTGGGGGAGCAGCACACACTCTGCAGCTGACTCACCAGTGTTTCCAGTTTTTAATAAAGTGCACTGCAGGGAAGCTAATGCTGAAGCCCCTGGGATTGGGAGTCAGCAATTAATACTGCAAACATCCTGCCCTGCTGTTTCAGGAGTCAGCCAGACACCCACAGCTTCCACGGCTGCTGAAGATGGAACACGAGGCATGTGGAAAACACCCAGATGAACCAGACTCGGGGATTTATGGAGGCCCTGAGACGATTTTGGCAACACCAGACCCTTCACAAATCCCCTGGATGAAGATCAAACCTTTAGGAAACAGATGGGAGGTGATGAATCTTCTTTCCCCGCAGCATGGAAATGAGGGCTGGTTTTATGGAGTGCCAAGTGGTGGGAAACCCCGGAGCAGAGGAAGAGCAGCACCAGCACACTCACAGACAAAGCCTCCAAAGCATCTGGACCTCACTTCCAGCTCCCCTTGGCTGCAGCAACTTCAGAAGATTCCCCTTTTCCCAGATTTCTGGCTCCCGTGTGCAATCAGGGCAGCCATGCACCAGGATATTTATTTATCTCCTCAGAGCTCCCACCAGGCTGGTACAGAATGTCCCAAAATCCCTGGCACAGGGGCCAGCCCGGCCTCTCCCCTCCCAGCTGTGTCCATCCCACAGAGCCATGCTGGAACCTTCCATCCACATCCTGCCCCCAAAGCCTGAGAAGAGCCCAGAGCTCCATTTCTTGTTTCCTGACTCTGTGGCCTCTCTCCATACTCCCCTCCAGACTGGATGTAAATTGTTTCACTGATATTGCCACCCACATCCACTCTGGTCCCAGTGACAGGCCTGGAAATCTTCTCAGGAGATTAAAGGACATTATTGGGAGAAAAAAACCTACTTCTTCCCCAAATAACTGCTGCACTCTTTGTTAAACATTCTAACCCCAGGTTATTTCGGGGCTGGCATATTCCTACAGCTTCTGGAGTGGAAGCCCACTGAACTATAGGTGGGGCATCTCTCCAGTTCCTCATCTCACTTTCCTGAGGCTCCATTTTCAGAGATAATGATTTTTTTTCACTTCTTTTAAATGGAACTAAAAAAAAAAGAAGGTGATTTAGCTGCAGGGAAGAAGCAGAAAAAAAAATCTCCCAAGGCAAGTTTAATTCCCAGCTTCAGAGGCTCTCAAGGCTGGGAAGACAAGGCTGCAGCACGAGGAAAGCTCTGCTCTGGATAGGAGCTCCCTCCCCTGCCCTCCTGGAGCCTGCTGAGCCTTCCTGCCTCTGGAATGCATCCTCCCGCTTCTCCCCAGCCTTGCTGCTGGGATTTGCCTCTTTTCTTCCTCTGTCCCATTCCTGCCACTCCTGCAGACCCTTTCCCTTGACTAGAGCTGGCAGCTCCAAGCCCAGCTTGCACCCCTGCCCCGAGGGATGGATGGGCAGAGCCAGGAGCTGCTGCTGCCATCAGCAGCCACACGCTGGCATGAGGGAACTGTGCTCCAAATGTGCTGCTCTGAAGCCATCCTGCCATGGCCAAGTCACCCCAGGAAGGGGATGAGGCCACCTGCACCTCTGGGCTCCCTGGCATGAGGAGCTGAGCGTGCTGCTGGCCCCGAGCAGCACAGTGGGGTCCTGATCTCTGACTGCTCCTGCCACATCAATAAAGGCAGCAGGGCAAGGCCAGGCAGCTGCTGCACAGGTTGTTGTTCTGCTGGAGATAAACAGAGGGTTCCAGGCTCCAAACTGGCAGTCTGGCAGCAGCAGGAAGAGAACCATTATTGCAGAGAGGAGAAATGAATAAATAAACAGCAAACAGATGACTTTTCCATGGATGCTCACTCCTGCAGGCACGGGCAGCCCGTGCCCACAGCCTGCACGTGGGAGGCACGGCAGGCTGGCACATCTTTGATACATTTTACATTTGTTCTGTTCTACCCCAGTGCTTGATTATTTCCTTTATTCAAGAAGAAATTGGCGGGGGAATCTGGAGGTTAAGAACTGCAATAACAGGCAATTTTTTAAGCTTTGTCAGTTTTTGCTGCTTAATCAACTGGACATTGTCCCTTTGAATAAAAGCTCCTGAATTCTCAGCAAGATGGTTGAAAGGTACAATGGATTTGCCCTGCCTTTGCCATATGGTGTCAAACTCCCTCCCAGCAAGAGCAGGCACAGCCTGGGATGGCACTGGGCAGTCTGGCTCCTCATGCTGTGACCGTGGCTCACTCCGGGGTGGGTGGGTGGGCACACCGACCCTTCCAGGGGGTATGGGGCAAAGGGCCAGCAATGGGAATCATGGATCAGCCCTGGCTCTGGGACTCCATACACTCAGATTCCAGCGGGAAGCAGTTTCCATGCCCGCTCCTTGCTGCTCGGTGCCAGGAGAGGGAGCCTGGCTCCTGCCTTCCGTGGCTCTGCCCGGGCCGCTGCTGCTCCGAGCCCCGGGATTGTCCCTGCAGGACCTGCCCCTGTCCCGGCACTGTGTCCCTGCAGGACCTGTCCCAAACCCGGCACTGCGTCCCTGCAGGACCTGTCCCAAACCCGGCACTGTGGCCCTGCAGGACCTGTCCCAAACCCCGCACTGTGTCCCTGCAGGACCTGCCCCCTGTCCCGGCACTGTGTCCCTGCAGGACCTGCCCCCTGTCCCGGCACTGTGTCCCTGCAGGACCTGCCCCAAACCCCGCACTGTGTCCCTGCAGGACCTGCCTCCCTGCCCACAGCGCCGGGAAGCGCTGGGACGGCCCCGGGGTGAAAGGAGGAACGGGAAGCTGGGGGATGGCAGCGGGTGCTACAGGGGTGACACCCAGGGGTGGGGTTAGGGCTGAGACATGGGATAGGGAGCACGGCATGTGGGATGCTCCAGAGGGGAGACCCTGCCCACCATCTCTGAGCTGGTTATTTGTATTTAATTATATACATATATATACATACATACACGCATACATACAGACACACACACATATATATACACATATAGACATACATGTATATAAGTATATATAAATAACATATCTAAAATATTGTCTATTACAATATTACAATATTATATATACAGTACATAATACCATATATTATAGATTATAGATTATATATGGTATATACTAGTGTATGGTATACACATATATATATATTATGGTGTATATATTCTATATAGTATATATTATATACTATATATTATATACTATATATTATAATATATTTTTATATTTTATATAATTTTTATGTTTATATATATTTATATTTAATTATTTATTATGAGCTGATCAAGTGGATGAAATATACAACACCTGGCATCGGCCTCACTCTTTGGAAAGAGACAATGGGAAGAGAGTGGAAACAGGGGGAAAAGACAGAACGGGGAAGAAAGGAGGAGCCCAAGCCGGTACAGTGCTCCCTGGCTGTCACTCACCACCATGCGGTTGAGGGACACCCAGCAGTCGTCGGGGAAGTCCTGCAGCATGGGCACCAGGAACTGCAGGCAGCCGTCCCAGTGGCACAGCAGCAGCATCATCCCGATCAGGTTGACGATCCTCACCACGGCGCTGGCCAGGTCGTAGGTCATGTGGAAGATCTGCAGGCACACAGGGCAGTGAGATGGCAGCTCCCAAAACCAGCCCCCAGTCATTTCACACAGTGCCAGCCTCCAGAACCCTGCTGAAGGGACAGGAAAGCTGCACCAGCCCAGCTCAGGCACAGTGTGCAAGGACCCAGCTGAAAAACAGCTTAAAAACCAACACACAGACCCAGGCAAGCAGAACCAGCTGAAAAACAGCCTAAAAACCAACATACAGACCCAGGCAAGCAGAACCAGATGAAAAACAGCCTAAAAACCAACATACAGACCCAGGCAAGCAGAACCAGCTAAAAAACAGCTTAAAAACCAAAATACAAACTCATCATCAGTCACCCCTCTTGCCCTGCGACTTTGCCTTCTAATTGACCATTAAAAGCTCCATAACTCCTTCAGTAAAATAAGCTGGTTGCAAATATTTCTGGACCATCAGCTACTCCTCAGGAATCAACTCTGTAATTCCATCTTTTGGCTGCAATGCCCTTCCTTGGTTTCTGTTCTTGCTGGGTACGGGTTCCACAGTGACCCACGGTGGCAGCTGCATGTGTACTGGATGTCAGCTGCAGTCTCTGCACGAACCAAATGCAACAAGGAACGGCCTCCAACGCAGCAGAGGCTTCTGGAAGAGCATCTGGTTCATCTCTCTTCTTGTGGTCCTTGTATTCTGCTGCTACACCCCTGCCCAGGTGGGCAAGGAAATGGAACCATGGCAGAGGGGGCTGGGTTTCCTCATCTGTCAGATCTTCATGTGGAAAATAAAGCTGCAAACACAACTTTCTTACAGGTCAGAAACGACACAGCCCTGATCCAGGGGTTCAAGTGCCTCACCTGGGCATCACCTTCAAGGGACATGAGTGAGTGTCAGGGTGGTTTGTGACACAGGGGACAGGCTGTGTGATGTGTGCCCAAATCCATACACCTCCTGGCTGCTCCAGTAGGGACAATCCTGCTCTTCTCACCACCACGGCACCGTGTGCCTGCCACCTTTGCCCACACCACAGATCGGCCTCTCATCCCACAGGAAGGCAGCTCAACAGCTAAAACAGCACAAACCTTTGTTATCAGGCAAAGGAATCACATTTTTCCAGCTGGAATTACTGCTGTTGGAGACGGCAGTCCAGCTGGAATGTCTGTCTCCACACCAGCCATGCCCACCTCAAGGTTGCATGCCCAGTGATGCCCACATGCCCAAAAGGATGAATGGTTTGGATAACTGCTGCTAACCCCATTATTTCCCTGCATCCAGGCTGGAGCCCACACTGCCAGTGTGAGAAAGGCCATTTGAGTGATCTTTCAGGGTTGAAAAGAAGAATATCTCCAAAATCCAGCATGAAAGGCTGTTCTAGGAAATCCAGCTCTCGCTGCTGACTCAATAGGTCAGTATGAAAGCTGAGCACATAATTCATACAGAATAATTCCTCCTGGTTTCCTCTGTTTTCCTCCCCCTGCAGAAATGATCATTCTCATTTAGATAACCCAGAGCGAATCCATCCTGTTGGAATGAGAGCCCGGGGCTGTGCTTTTAATGAAGCTGGAGCAGCAGTTTGCAGAAGGATCTTTTGTGCCACCAGGGTTTTTCTGTGCTAATGACTTTTCCTCTCACACCTCCGGGTGTTTTTCAAAGAGCTCCAGCCCTGCTGGAACCCAGGGAGCTCCAGGCAGGGGCAGGGAGAAGCCCTGTCAGATTGAGGTAGGACCTGCCGTCCTCCCTTTGACAGATGAAAAGCAGAGAGCGAAGAGCCCGAGGGCATGGATGGCTCAGGGAGCAGGTGATGGATATGGAGCTTCTGAGAGCAGGGTTGGGATCCATCCTGGTCAGGCTTCATTTGGTGCATGCAGAGAGGGGAGAGGGTGGATTCAGCTCCTACTCTGACTGGAACACCAGAGCCACTGGATGGGAACAGATCCCTGAGGGTGACACACCTGGGCTGTGGCACGAGAAGGAGCTCAGGGATTCCCAGGAGTCATTCTGATTATGAACTGCTAATGTCTGAGCTGCAGGTGAGACAACTCCAGTTCCAAATGTCTCAGGAGTTCCCAGCTCCTGCCCACTCCTTGGAATACGTTTGCATTCCCATGCAAGAGAAAAGCAGGAGCAGTCCTGGTGCAGGAATGACTGCGAAGGGCTGGGAACAAACACCTTCCACTGAGAAGCTCCTCCTGCAGAGGTACTGGTTTCACGGAATTCTGACCCAGAATTCTGGCCCAGAAATGGCTCACCAGGGAGAGGAGGGCCAGGAACATTCCAGAAGGGCTGGTCCCTGCACAAGCACAGGAACGTGAGTGGTAACTGCAACCTCTCTGGTTTCCATCAGGAACACTGAGGACTTTGTGTCCTGTTGTAACACAACCCAGGCTGGGTCCCAGAGCATCACAGCTCTTTCCACCCCAGCACTGCCTGTGCTTGCTGACTTTCTGCTGCTTGCACTGGGGAAAAGGGAGCCAGGAGAAGAGCAGAGCATGGATTCCCATTTAAAGAATATTCTTGGACAGAGTTAATATCTCTGTTTTTTGACAGACCAAAACAAGCTCTGGCTTCAGCATCGCTGCTACAAAATCAGTGCTGTCCTTCCAGCCAAAGGACACCTTGCAATTCTTGTGGAAAGGACAGCTTGGGAAAGTGGGAGGAACAAAACTTCCCTCCAGAAGTAATTTCGGGTTATGTAAGAGCTCCATCTTGGAAACTCCACTTATACAGGATGAGCTATCGGGATCCTATCAGGAATGTGAAATCCTGCCAGCCCCAAATAACTGTGCAGCCCTCCTCCATCCTGGACTGCAGCAGCACTCCTCCAAGCTCAGCACCTGAGCTGCAAGGAATCAAGGACACCCGGGAGAAGTGGGGCCTGGCTCTGGCAGTGGCTCCAATCAAGGCTGTGTGGTTAATTAGGTGTGCTGGTCTGTGCTGGCACAAGGCTCAGGTGCTGTCCAAACCACAGCCACCACCATCCCTCTGCTCCAGGCTGGCTGGGGCCACCACCATCCCTCTGCTCCAGGCTGGTCATCACCATCCCTCTGCTCCAGGCTGGTCACCACCATCCCTCTGCTCCAGGCTGGCTGGAGTGACCACAGTCCTGCTCCAGACTGGTCACCACCATCCCTCTGCTGCAGCTGGGGCCCTGGGGCTGCCCTGTCCGTGGGCACATCCTGGGGCACTGTTGGGCAGAGCAGCAGCTGCTCCAGGCACACCCTGCCAGGGCCAGCCCTTGGCACAGCCCCTGGCCCTGACCCTGCTGGCACAGCCAGGCTGGGATCTGACTGCACATCTGGGCTGGGGTCTGACTGCACATCTGGGCTGGGGCCTGACTGCACATCTGGGCTGGGGTCTGACTGCACATCTGGGCTGGGGTCTGACTGCACAGCCAGGCTGGGGTCTGACTGCACATCTGGGCTGGGGTCTGACTGCACATCTGGGCTGGGGCCTGACTGCACATCAGGGATGGGGTCTGACTGCACATCTGGGCTGGGGTCTGACTGCACATCTGGGCTGGGGTCTGACTGCACAGCCAGGCTGGGATCTGACTGCACATCTGGGCTGGGATCTGACTGCACATCCCTGCTGGCTTTTCACTCTCTGGAGGTCTGTGCCTGGAGCCAAGGGGCTTTCCCAGGCTTTGGGGCCCTGATGCAGAGGCACCCCAATGATCCTGGCTGAGGCAGGGCAAGCCAGCACTCTGAGCACTGGCTCTGGCAGGCCACACTGCCATCCACGGGGCTCCTGAACAGATTCTGCTCCACAGGAAAGCACTGAAACTGCTTGTTGCCCTTCACTACTGCACTGCCAACGTGGCAGGAATCCTGTAGCTCCATATCCTGGCTGGTCCCGAGCCAGTGCTGGTGTCTGTGCCCACACCATGGTTAATATACAACTGTGATAAATCCCCTGGGGATAATCAAGGAGCTGTGACACTGCTCCAGCTTAACAGAAGCAAAGAACTTACTCTTCATTTACGGCTTAAAAAACCCACAGACCTGAGAAGGAAATACAAATCTCAAAAGAGAATCAAAACAGTCTCATATGCTGTTGTGAGTGCTCCAGGGTCAGAGTTAAGGTTGTTCTGCTGTGAGGAAAAACGTGTTTACTCACATTTAAGAAGAGTATTTGTGGGCTGTGGGGAAGAAAGTTGACATGTCTTTCAGTCTGCCTTTCTCTCCTTGGCTTTTGAAGATAACAGAGGTAAAGATCCATTTTCTTCACAGAGGCATTAGCTGCCTTTTCAAACCTTAGTGTTAATCTCCCAGTAGACTGGGGATAGGTGGGTGCTGCAAAGAGCTTTTCTGAGCCTAAAATCCAGTTTAGCCAGATTACTGAGGGTGGCTGTGCTGAGGCCCTGCAGCAGCAGCTGCTGTGGCTCTGGATCACCCAAAACCACTCATCGTGTTCAGTCCCAAGACCAGCCTGGACAACGAGCTCATTCCAGCCAACGTGCAAACTGAAAGCAGCTCACTGAAAAAAACCTGTGATTTGGGGGTCAGTGCCAGTTCTTGTGGCAAATGTCACCTTCTGCACACCCAGGGCGAGCCCTGACTGCACAGCTCACTGAGCAGGGGAAGGCTCTGGGAGCCCTGATGAGCACAGGGAGAGACAAAGAACACAGAACTGGCAGGGTGGGCTGCGCCAGGAGGACAAACCTGCCTGGGCACACACAGGGCACTGAGGCACAGGAGCCCTGAGCATGGCCAGGGCACACAAGCCTGGGCACAGCCAGGGCACACAGAGCCTGGGCACACAGAGCAGCCCTGGGCACACAGAGCAGCCCTGGGCACACAGAGCCTGGGCACACAGAGCCAGGGCACACAGAGCAGCCCTGGGCACACCTGGGGCACACAGAGCCAGCCCTGAGCACAGCCAGGGCACACAGAGCCAGGGCACACAGAGCAGCCCTGGGCACACAGAGCCAGGGCACACAGAGCCAGGGCTGAGCACAGCCAGGGCACACAGAGCAGCCCTGGACACACAGAGCCTGGGCACACAGAGCAGCCTTGAGCATGGCCAGGGC